TGGGTGGGCAACAAATTCGTGTTTAGTTTTAAGCCAACCTTTCGTCGGTCGATCAGTAATCATTGTCTGGGTCATTGGTTCCTGGGTTTCAGACAGGCTACATGGTAGCATGGAGCATCCCAGATCGAGATGTTCTCGCGCTTGTCCCACTGTCCTGTCAGGTGTCGCTAATGCCATATTGTCTATAAATCTGCAGGATTGTGGAGGCAAATATTTTACTGAGGTTTCATATGCCCATGAAGTGCATATAACTAGTGGTTGTGCTTCTGCTATTTTTAGCCTAATCTCGGTAGGCAACCTGGAGCGATACTTCAACCAGCTATCCAATAGGACTTCTGTCATTCCTTTGGTGTGTGGCAAACCTCATATCACTGCACTGAGGATGCCACCTCGCATGGTGGTAAAAGGTTTACTACAAAACCGCCAACCTCGGAGAACAAATGAACAATTGACTTTCCATATTTTTAGACCTCAGCCCTTGTAATTTTGAGATGAAGGAATTCACCTTAGTCATTAGGCGGTAACGTGGTCCAGAGAGAGTGTTTCGCGGATGTAGCGTCCTTGCTGTCGGTCATGTTTTTGCGCTTTGTGTGTAGAACAGTCCAGTAGTTCAGGAACACCATGAATAAATAGGGTTCTTTTGCTTTCGTTCTTAGAAGGGCCTCCACGGTTTTCTTCTTCCTTTGACCGTCTTTTCCAAGGAATATCTGGTAGTATGCGCACCCCGCTCAATAAGTAGCGACGATGAACTGCTGAGAGTATGACTATCTCTGTCAGCTCAGTTGAATTCAGGTTTACCAGAAGAAATCGGGGTTCGCCGTAATGCACTGAATTTGGGTGACGTGCTATGCGTCGTAAGCTAGTTGGGTCAACCCGGATACCAATCGCATCGCAGACGGAATGCCACTGGTTGCGATCATTTACCAAGTTACCGTTTATTGTGCCCGACCTGGACTCAGGAACTTTAGTGCACACGACAGTTAACGCACTATGGTTCTGTTTAACGAATATTCGTTTGAGTGTTCTGGCTGGTAACTTGGACTGTTTGTCGGACAATGAAAAACGCTGTGAAAACGGCGTCTCATCGAGAGTGTTTGGTCCAGAAACTGGACGTACGGGTATCTCTGGGCGTTTTTATCAACGCGATCGATGCGTATGTTACCCGGCTCTGGACTGCCGGTGTCGGCGTTGTGACCAACTCGTGAGATATGACATCTGGGGATGAGTTTATAGCAGTCACAATGGATGTGGCTTGTCTTCTGAAAGGGTTAGTGATTGTCGGAGTAGGTGGTGCATATGCTGTCGGGCGGTTAGCAAGTCTGAGTTTAGCCTTCGACTTAGGGACAGAGCTCTGAGGGGTTTTCTGTAGAGCAAGATCGGCGTTGTTAGATTCTAATGGCAAGGTCTTGAAGCTCGCCATCTGCTGGACCGTTTCAGTCAGTTTTTCACACTTTTTCAAGAGCGATATTACACATTTGACTATTGAGGTTGCTCTGTATGTTTGGCAAAACCAGTGAGAATCAGTCAGGTTGATTTGCCTCTTATATTGTAGTTGACTTAGACCAGCACAGAGGGGGTGAAACGGAAGACCGCAAAATTTACAACTAATATCTCATTTAACTGGGCGTACACACTTCCGTCTACCATATTTGGTGTTAGGTGGAATCAAGTTCATTAACGGCCGTTGTTGCAAACGAGCGCTGTCCTTGCCCTGTCACGTGAGGTAGAGAACGAGTGACCTGTAGTCTACAGGTAACGACATTGTCTCCTAATGTTGCGCGCGGGTTCGAATCCCCGTAGGGGTGGGAGTCCTCACCGTATACTCTGTCTGCGTACGAGTGGTGGTAGTCGCACGGCAGCGAAGCGCCGGTACAGCGTATTGTTGAGACATTATTCATTATTTTTAGGCAAATATAATCAGATCGATGGATGGGCAGTATCCCTCACAACAAGTACGGATGGCTCTCTGAAAAGAACCTTTATATGACTTTGATGAAATATTTTGGCGCCGTGGTTTCGTTAGGATCGTTTTTGATCACGCACCAAGAGTTCGGTAGGAAAGACAACGTCCAGACTTCGAATCGCGCAAATTGATTGCTCCTGTATTCCCTGCTTAGAAGCATTCTCGTCATTTGACAATGCAATTGAACGCAGATAATTAGCTACCGGTTCTTACAACCTTCCATTAGGAGATGGATTTTTAAGAGCCTACAATATCGTGGTTGGCCAAATAGGCAGCGCATCGGCTCTCAAACAACAATTGCAGCTAGTGCGCAGATGTATGCAACAGCCTTCGGTACATTGAAAAACTGCACGGATTTCGAGGTGCAATTGTTGTAAAACCTTGACCTTCGGGTTTCCTGTACTACGTTTGCATCAGACTGCAGTGAAACCTCCTGTAAAGTCCGAAAAGAACTTCGATGCATTTCCCAACCTAGATTGCTTACTTAAGGACACGGTATCTCTATTCGCTAATTATTCTGCCCATTTTACATTACTTTCACTGTGTGCTACAATCAGTTACCATATTGAACCGTTATTCCTTTCATTCTCGATCACTGACATATGCTTGAAGCTTCAAGCTTATCCATATTATTCTGTTACTGTGACACTGCCCAAATTACCGCACGCTGCCGCACGCCCTACAATCTCTGCCCTCTTGCACTACGATTGCAAAACTTACTCATAAATCATGTACTGTTTTAATTTGCCTTATAGAACCACGGTTACAGGATAATTCGTTTTATTCTTCTGCTCAGACGGTACGTTAAGTCTAGGCTTATTGGTTTGTAGTTTCTAGTTTAGGTTTCTTACGACATACTTAGTTTAGGCTTCATATCCTTGGTACACCTCCTGCATATGGTCTTCTGCTCATTGCAACGTTCAAGTGATTTTTGCCTCGGAAATGATGTGGTTCGGGCTGTGGCAAAATAATGGGATGATATTTCTTGTCTCTTTTGCAATCGTTGTGTGGAATAAGCTTATTCCAAGATACGCAGAATTCTAACCCTCTGCGTCGTGCTTGGATAGCAGGGCAGATCATGTTGTGCACTTCAAAAATCGGTGGATAACATCACCTACTTCCAACTTTTTTATAAAATAGAAGACTTAGAATGGATTTGTTCATTCGAATTATTGCAGCACCACTGTGTGCTGTGACTTACAACATATGAGACTTTGGACAAATAGACAAGACACCTGCACTTAACCTTAAGGCTGAGTCTGCGAAGATATGAGCGACATCACAGTATCCTCAGTCCCCAAGCGACCAGTGGCGATGGTGTAAAAGGTATCAACAGGAGACGGCGCACCGTAGGGACGTTTCGCGGCCACACAACGATCACTACTCGCAGGTAAGCTGTGGATACTGCGAAGCGTAGATACAATGTGTCGGTCCAGTGATGCTGAATGCACCTTTAATTGCCTTATGGTACTGAAGCCTCGGAAGCAACCAGCGCGTTTCAGTATATTCCAGTGTATATACCAGACTCATCCCGAGTTTACGTGGCTTGGGGTATGAGGACCAGTGCGAGAAACTAGGACACTACAACTTGTCCTACCGTCGGGTGTGAGTCAACCACATTATGACCTACCGTATTCTACATCTCGGTGACTTCCACATGCTAAGGTCAATGCTGCACTTACAAGGGCCATGCAGCATACGAGGACACAGATACAAACTTGTCGTGCCAGATATGAAATGTGTTCCCCTACCCACTGTGCTTCGAAAGGAGCGTGGTAAATATTTGGAAAAGTTTACCTGAACGTGTGATGGAGGCAACATCTGTGCAGCAGTTCAAAACGTTGTTAGATATATATTTTAACCCTATTCGATTCAGAGAACGATTGCAGAATCACGATGACATGTCACATTTATGAGTCCTGCAATACCGTGAGTCAGATATTTTAAATGTTACTTGAGAAGGATAACGATATTCACGGCCGATAATTTTTATAAGGTTTTTCACCATATATCGAAAGAGTTGTATGGAATTCATTTCTACTTGCTCTAAAATACAGTATTCAGTATTCCCAGAATCTTTCCTGGAATACGTGTACGCATTAGTGAGTGTAAAATTAGGAATCTTTGACTTGGAGTATAACGTCCACAGTGCTATTGTTTAACCAGACAGAACTTTTGGAACATTTATTCCCCGTAGCCTAGAATACATGGACTATCCACCCAGCCCTATTCCGCTCGTCGCATTCCATTCAGGATTTAAGTGTCAGAAATCAACCGACGGTATTGGCAATCTAAAAGAAGATGTGGGCGGTGAAATTGAAGCGCCAAAAATGGCCATATACTAGAAAATGGTTAACGTAAGTTATGGTTGATGCTCTGTTCATGAAAATCTTTCGTGAGCCGTTACCCCACAATGCTTGCAAGGATTTAAATAAAAATGTATCCACCAAACAGTTAACATTCCTGTGAGTTAAAAATGGCTAAACGGCTTAGTTCCTGAGACTTGTTCATACCGCTGTTCTGAATATCCTGCACCTCAAACCGATGTTACTTTCTTGTACAGAGCGCTGCACCTATATCCAACGGAATGACGAGTACCCTGTCTCTCTCATGCGAAGTAAGCTGTACTTCGAGTCTACGAAGTACAGCACTCTGAACGGGCTTGTAATCGTAGTTGTTACTGAGAATTATAGAGACAAGCTCCCAGTTTATAATTCGTTGCCCTCAAACAGGGTGGTGAAAGAACCAGATAATTGTCTTTCCCACTACTTCTTACGCCACCTAACAAGACATGCACACACGCCGTGTCTGTTCAGTGTAGGTGCTCGTCTGAGGCATTTGTGCTAGCGCGTTCAGGCTTCTCCGCAGCTGTTCAGCTGGACTTCATCGGATATGTCCAAAATGGACAACATTATTCCGGTGTGGAGGAACGTAGCTCAGTGCAATCGGATCAGGGCACTGAAAATTCGATCTTAAGCTCTTAGCACTATCCATTTTCCTTGGAATCTCGTGTCACCAGTTCAGTTAAAATTGAATTCGTGTGTAGAAAACGGTCTTGACATTATAAGTGTGTTCACAAGTGGTTCAGTGTCTGATGGCTCTCAATTGCTGCACAATCCATGTTGGTTAATGTACAGCAATATTTTATCTCACTCTCGATGCCTCGCTTTGACCTGATTGAGTAACACATATCTTTCAGTGAGAAACTCGACTCGCTTCACTAGACTGGAACACGTTCTTTACAAACAATAAATGCACTAAACCACAGTGTGGAAAACAACATTCTACAGCCTACTTGGCCTCGCTGGACATCGCGAGAGGAGGAAAAAGTGGACAGCCCGCATTTGCGGTTACGACTGTAGACCCAGCACTAAATGCATCATTTGATCAAATGTATTTGTAAGTGTGGACGGACTGTTCGTACGCCTCAAGGCGACCATGCGCCAGTACAGCCAAGCTTGACACCACATACTCAAAGGAATCCAGGAGTTTTACCGGTGTGCATACGGTGCGTGTGACCAGGAAAATGGTTAAGAAGAGTGCCCTTTTCGTTGTTCCCAACAAATACGGACCCAGTTCCACTTTCATACTGGGCTGGGTAGCCTCGTTGCGAGGAAACACTAGCATACAACAGACATCGTGATAGACCAGCGTTCTCTCTCGATGGGGACACTTGCCAGCTCTGTCGGATGGGTAGCTGCATGCTTGGAGCGGGAAAATGTGCTGGACCCTTGGAGGGAATTTCGTCCACAGTCCATCGAGCATGGCTTCTTTGCCTATCTGTACGACACAGTCGACTTCCAGAGTTGAGCTTATGGTGCATATTTCGTGGATTAGGTTTCACTGCGTGCGATTCGGTCACTTTGTGTTGTGTACTGGATCGCATTTCATTGTTCCTGTAGGAATGTCCGGCGTATGAATCTTGGTGCAATAAGGACAACGATGGCCAGCGATTGACTCGCCGTCTTGATCCACTGCTATATGTAAAAATGGCTGAAGTTTCCGCATTCTTTGTGACCCATGCACGCGTTTGTCTTGGTATATGTCTAGATTCATTATTGGCTCCTTGATCGGATACGTGCTCAACAGCATCTGCAGAAGCAGAGGAGAACAGAGAAAAAGTGTATGACACAGAGTAGTGCATGTTGACTAAACTATTGCAGAGACCGAGTCCTCTAAAATTCCTTACCAAATCAAAGGCATATTATGTAATGAGCTGTCTGAACAGCCTTGTCTCTTATTATCCGGATGCCATAAGTGACCACAAGAAAATCATTAACTATGCATCACAATATACAACATAATGAGTGTATTTTCCCCAGCTTAGGATAGCCAGATAACTACCTGTATGTCCATGTTACAGGGTCTTTAAGGTGGTGCTAAAATCACTGAAAACCTTCTGATAAAGCTACCACTAAAACTGGTTAGCTGATACAATGACTAAAGCCAACGGATTCAGCACATACAGAAGTGCCACTAGGCAAAAACCTTAAAGGGAGTTGTTGTTTTACTCATGTAATCAGGGTTAGTTCAGGGGTTTCTGCATTTGTGCGCTGGTGACTTTTCGTCTAGTTTCCTAAGATTTAAGCTTGAAAATAGTGGTATCAGTTGAATAAAGTTGACTGGTTTCATTAGTAGTAATTGCCGTCTCATCTCTTTTGTTCATGTTTGTCTATTGACAAGTCAGAGAACCCGAGATGAAGATGGACAAAATAACGATACTATATGAATTCCTTTATCGTTGGCAACAAGCATACTACGCGCCCTGTATTTATTGGTCAGCACTGGGTTTGGAGTTTTGACACAATCCTATCAATACTAGTTTGCTAAAGCATCGAGTGCTTTTGTGAGATCACAGACGTGGTAACTAAATAATGCAAATTACGCACGAAAAATAAAGCTTAAAGTTCGGTTGTCCAGACTCACATCATTCTTGCCCCTATATTAACTCTTTTCAAAAAAACGCCTTGATGACACACTTTCCACTTGCTTTAGTTGATATAGTCAGTTTCACCCAGAGCACGAAATAACGCGAACCAAACTGTGTGCTCCCCAGCAGTCTCCACGTCACGGTGAGGATTCATGCATAAATCTCCCAGTGAATAGCTGGGTGTACCTAAACTGGATTAACGTTTCACACTGGTCAGCTGAAGTGGCAAACGAGTGAGCGCTTTCATTCCGTTATTTTTCTCTCTCACGGAGTGTGCGAACTATAACTGCTCTCCATACTATCCTATGTGCGCACGTTGCATTCCCATTTCAAATTATCATTATGCAGCAGTGCAGTTAAATCGGTAGACGCTTAGAATGACGATCTACCTATGCTTTGATTCTTGTAAATTTAACCTTCACACCACCCATCCCACAAGACTTGCCAAGCATTTGTCTTTTTGCCCGTGAAAACTCATAGTTCACTGTTCAGTCGGCAATAATCCCACCTGTGCTTTTGTAACTTATAATGCAACCCTTGTCGATACCTTTCCCATAGATGAGATTCTTGCAAAGTTGTTGTGAGTAATTGGAGCAATTGTTGAATTTGAATTAGTTTGTGGTCCATCAATGGTTATAACGAGGAGAAACGGTCGCGCATCACAAGAGCGTTCCCGTAGGATCAAAAGACAAAGGACTATCGCATCAGAGCCGCATGTTGTAGGTATTAAATCAGCTAGAAGTACTGAGCACGCGGTGGTCGAGTCCAGATTCATGACTCAGTTGAGAACTGTTTTATTTGGCTAGGACTTTCGGCTCACAAGCTATTCGTAAATGAAGCGGAATATCGTTACTTTTGGTAAACAGCTGGCATTGAAACCACGCATTTCCTCAAGGTGGCCTACGGACCAAGATTTACAGCACTTCGAATTATGAGTTTACATTCATCTTATCAGCGATAGCAGATCAGTACTCTTATGCAAAAGCTTGTGCTGACAGTGGTCCAATGAGCTGATTGGAATTTCGAGGCGCTCCGAAATTTAATCATAACAAGAAGTTCAGGGGTTACTGATCAGATGGACTCAATCTCAACGTTTTCTCATAGTAGATTTGTTTGGATCCAAGACACTGTCCGTCTAATACTCAGGCATGGAAAATAAGTGTCTACTCCACTGAAGTGAGGGACAACCATTAGAATTGTCCCTAAATGTGGCAGAACAGGATTGCTCACCTCAAGCCAGTGAGCCAGCCAGCCAATCCAAACCGATAGGATGCAAACCCACCAAACCGATTTGTGTTTGAGCATGGTCGCAGGCGTATTGTTGCATTCAATAGAGAACGCGTATTGTTTTCTCCTAACCTAACATGACTGCGTGTCACCAGTCCCAATCACATCTTAGCAAAACTCCGTATCCGCAGTCTAGAGTTGAAAATGTCTCTCATTGTCTTGTGAGTAGACTCTTGTAAAAATCATCAAACAAAACTACGTAAACGGAATTGAAAACCGGACAGCATCATCTTCCCACAGCACCCGATTTCATTGATCTACTAAACTCACCTTTTCAGTGTAACCAGCACAGACTGCCGCAGGCTTCGCATCTTGATTACTCTGCAGACTAAGGAGAATAACGCACAAATCCCTTCCAACTCTGGCACACTGTGTCAGAGCAACCAACAGGTTGAGTTCTTTTTGGACAACTACCTGCTGTCAATGAAACTTTTCAACTGGTCTCTAATTGGATGCTTCAGTTACCACTAGTTACCTAAATCGCGCTCCTGGTGTTACGCGGTCGACGGTACATTCAGTAAACTGTCTGAACACAATGCAAACAATCGGTCACTAATGCATATCTATGTGCATGCTATTCGAATTGGAACACTCATCGAAATTACAGAAGAGTAGCAGGGGGAGTTGAATGGTATAGGTAGAAATTCATCACATCTAGACTCATTCAGACAGCCGTCACACGCCCGGAAAAGCACTGTACGCGCGTTTCATCCTTTCGGGAATCGTCAGCAGTGCGCATTCCATCGGACCCTGGTAGGGCTCGAACCCGCAACTTGACTGTTGCCAGTCCGTGGTTGAGACCACTGTGCTACGGGAGACGGCAACGACCATCGTGAATAAGTTACGGGATGTGATGGGGTAAGCATAGTCTGGAGACAGTGCACCTTTAAGTGTTTCGGAGCACCCTACAGCCGATTACCACTCGGGGATAAACAAAAATCGATTCTCGGTAGCTCACAGCCATAAGGTCACCTTTCACAAGACCGGAAATGCGAATGTGTCGATGGTCGCCAATGATCTGCATGCGCAACTGCGTCATTGAACTTCGAACACCGCCTAGCACAACTATTGTGCTTGATAAGGATTTAAGCCGCAGAAACTATTGCTTTCTGCATTCATTTGCAGCTCGAAAGCTTTGCTTCAGTAGCACTGTCTTAAGCACAAGCTTCCACATCCCATTATATAGTACCCACAGAAATAAACATTTCTCTAGACCTGGCCATTGGAAGTGTGCCTTCCAAAGCATCCACCTAGACTTCGTTTCGGCCGTGAGTGATCGCTTGCACCGAGTTTGCTTTTCCGAACTCAAGGAAGCAACCAAATTTGAGGTTATATACCTGTTATCTGAAAGTTCCACTATTTCAAGAAATTTTATCAGTCCGAATTGGATCACCTAAAACAGACAAGCGAGGAGTATAAATTGAAGAGCGATCGAAGTCACCTCCGGTGTACCGTTAAGCAGACCTTTGAAAACGTCACACAACTACATAATCTTTTACCCCTAGTGAGTGAATTTTGGAGTTTTCTAGCTTAACTAGAGCATAAAAACGGCCTCGCCAAGTAAATATCCCTATCGTGATCTCAAACCTCTGAAAACGCAGCCGATTCGATGTAACCTTGGGCAGGCCTGGGCCAACTGGCCCAACCTAGCGCTGTAGCCGTGCATGCACCAAGGCCCAGACGCGTAATCCTGGTAAGTGCATCTGCACAATGTCATTGGGTTTCTGGTTCTCACCTACGTCAGCATAACAACGGCACCTCATCGCACTTTCACAGGTGTCACTCTTCGGGAGGTCAATCAAAACTATAGCTGGTTATTGCTTACGTGAGACGTACTGTGCCAAGCCTACTACTTCCCCGCCAGTGCAAACTCAACTGTTGCATCATGAAAGGATGCTACACCTCATCTCTCTTTAATGGCTGGCTTCATCTCCAGTTCTTTCACATTTACCATCCATGGGCGATCGTTAGCCGGGTTGTGGTAATGTATGAACGCTACTTCATTGCATTGGCTTTGTCAGGGCATAAGGCGTGAGCGCTGATGCAAGGTGATAGTCTGTGTGACGGAGAACGCCAGCATCATTGGAAACAGTCAAGTACCGTTTCGATCCATCCGAAGCGTCAGTAGATTAATTCAAGCAGCTTCCCATGCCCGTTAAGCGAAACTTCTCTTAGCATAATTTATCCACGCCCCCAGTACCGTTGTTTCAAGTTATTTCATCAATGCCCGTTTTGCACCTTCTAACATCTCTAAATATTGAGCAGATTCAAGTGCTTTTTCGCGATTGATGAATAACAAGGCGATTAGACCTGTAGCATTCCGTCATTGAGGAAAGAGAACGGTGACTCACGGATCAGCGCAATTTCCACGATGCCATTTCCGTGCAGCACATGATGATGGCGATATCAGTGTTTCCCATTTGAACTGTATCCCCAGCTATGAAATAATCATCATGAGTATTCATGCTAATACTGCGTATCGCAAGATTTTCTGGAGAAAACGTAGGAGGACTCGAATTCAATCATTTATCTGTTCAACTGCTTTCACGTATATTTTTGCTTCTATACATCTTTGTCAATTTGAGCGTATTCTACATTCCAGGCTCAGATTACGCGTGAGAGTTTCGGCCTGCGCATATGTAACGAAACGCAAGCAATTTGGGAAGGGGCGGCTAAACTGTGCTATATCGGTAGCCATCAGAAGTGGTGATGTAGCAATGAGTAGCGCTCAACTACGCCCAACGGTTCTAACTAACAGTAGTAGATATAGACGAAGTTTATGACCTAAAGTAGGAATTATTGTTGATGTTTCTTTCGCGCACTAAGCTTCGGCAGATTCCCGACACGGTTGATCACGTTACTGTATGTAAAAATCTTGGACATCATCTGAACTTAAAGTAACATTAAAATGGTGAACCCGAAACCGGCGACCACTTACGTAACCTTGATTCTGCTTTCTGTAGACAAGCTTTGAGTTCTTCTAAGCAGGAGTAGAACGGATCCATTGCAAACAGGGTCTGTAGTTCTTGTCTCCTTTTCGTTGGCTCAACTGGTGAAGTATGCGTCATCCGAGTCGTGATGCACTTTGTCGTCTCTGATACTGCGGGATCAGTCTTCGTCGCACCCGACTGTCTCTTCCTTGGCATGTGAGACTTCGGTGTTCCTTTTTCTCGTGAGCTCACCGTGACTGCTTGTCTGCATCTAATGCTACGCACTTTTTCACCTCTTGCGTAAGCGCCACAGCTGTGGGAAGTTGCCTGCGCATTTAGCTTCAACTTGATTACGCTTTCGCCTGTCTTTGTCTGTGCCCTCTTATTTAACCACTGGGGTCGAAGTGCTTTATTTGTTGCCGTCAACAGCTTTCCTTCCTCTGTGCATCCATGAAATTCTCTTCTCAGAATATCGTTGGACAAGCGGTCAGCAAGTCTGCTGCTTTCCACACTAAATGCCTGGCAGACAACATTGGTTGGTTGATTATTGCTAGCTTCTTTATCACCACCAGGATCTATCCTAGTTTCAGCAAGATTCGCTTGGCTACCCAATAATTTGTTTGGCCTTTCAGTGCTCGTCCTTCGAAGGGAGCTGACGTTCACAGAGGGTTCTTCCTCCGGGACCACGAAAACCGCACTGACGCAACGGCTCAGCGTAGGTGGATCCGTCCTAGTTGCATCATCAGTTGTCCAAGCCAATGCATCGGTTAATTTCAGCTGTGTAGTCACTTGGTCGATTTCGGCGGAGGCTCCTGGTGCACGACGAATCTCTGTCCGAGAGAATACACGGTCACACTGTACAGCCACATTAGCGACCGATGTGAAGCTGTGCCAATCAAGCTGCTGAAAGTCCAAGAACGCAAGCAGACTTTGTGAACATCGCGAACACAATACAAACTCCTTGTCTTTCTTTTTCTCTGAGTGGTAGTTTGGCCCTGGGTTTGACCCTTTCTTCGACAGAACTAACTTTAAACGACAGTCCTCATGGGAAGCATCAGGTGGCACACAAATGAGTGTCTGCATTTGGTAAGCCCTTAGTGAGCCGTGGAATTCATGTGACTCGCTTCCCGGTTCCTCGTAAGTGGCGCTAGAACTGTCCGAGAAATCTGCATAATCTGTCCCATTCTCTGATCCACAGCTCAGTACCGAGAAGCTGTGAGGAGGCTTGGTATTCGGTTCTCCTATCACACCTGAGCGTGGATTCAAGTATACACAATCCGTAGGGTTGGCAGCTGAGCATGTTTGTTCTGCTTTTCCTGGCGGAAAGTGTTTCGAACCCATCCACATAGCTCCGTTTGGTCTCGCAGCATCCGGTAAAGCCAGATGTTCATCATCAACCATGACTAAACTACTAGGTGAGCAGACTAAAGCCTGTCTCTCGAAATGTTCTACATCCGGCATCACGTGTGACATTACAGCCATGGTTCGATGGGTAATAGCAGCATCGTCACCGGATTGGCTGCTCCCGAGTGTCTTAAAGTCTGAGTGTGGGTCGATTGCACTACACGACTGTAAAAGTGGAGCCACCGTATGTAGTGCTAGCTGATGGGACACCGGAGCCTTGTTACTATGTAACCGATCTTCAAATTTGAAGTCTAGACTCTGAAATTTAGTATCCAAGTCCAGTATCCGATCCATTGCAAGACACGAGGCTGGATAAGCTAAATGCATGAGACGGTCAGCCCACAGTTGCGCCATTTGTGTTTTGTGGGTTGTGTCTGCAGTGAAACCAAGTAAGTCACATAGGTGGTTCACTAGCTGCAATGCTAGCTCAATGACTCTTTGCACTCCAGGAACCCGTCCGATAGTTGTGCAATGCAGGTCTTGCTTACATGTCTGGAAAGAGTCCAAAATAAATTTATCTACCAATTCGTTTACCCTAAGGGTGGAGCAAGTGACCACAGCGCTAAGGTTGCTTGTGTAAACGGCGGAGAGCTGGTTCATTCTATAAGTGAAAGCTACTGCAATCGTTTGATCAAGTAGATGATTGGTCAGCTCCTGCGCATGTCGGCTGTCATTTGTGGAAACTATTTGTCTCCGGGTTAGATCGCCCTTCGCTAAATCTTGGTTAATCTCTGAGATCAGCCTTTCGCACAACTCTAAACGACACTGACTCGGTTGCGGAGGATCTGTATTGTGCAACTCGCTCCGACAGCCGTGCTGGTACATGTACTGAGCATTTCTTTTGACTTCTATCACCTTCTTTTCAGCTGAATATACCGAGGTCTCTGATTCTGAATGATGCTTCGGTGGCACGAAAGCGAGTCGATAATAGGAAAAGCGGTTCAGTCCCTCCGGCACGGATACACTCTGAAGACTGTGATGTGAAAGGTTCATTCTTCGGCATGGTGACGTATTTAATGTAGGAGTTTCCACTTTACGCCGTAAAGCTGCATCGAAAGTTCCAACATGTGCACTCATTGAACGGGTGATCTTCGGTGACTCTCTGGCTCCCAAACAGACGCTGCATCTGAAAAACCTGAGCCGCGAGTGGGTACAGGTGCCAGAGTTCAGACGATTACTAACTCGCATAACTGCGCCCAATGGACCCTTAGTGGAAGCAACTGGATGTGTAACTTCTTTACCACAGTTATCAGACCTTACTCCTGGCAAACTACCCTTTGCTTGGTCGAGATTCTGGTTTCCAATAGAAGGTGTCCGCGAAAGTTGCACCGATACAGTATGTGCCGGGGATCGCGTGACTCCTGGATTCTCAGTAACCGTCCAGTCGAATGTAGGTATTCCCGATTGACCACTACAGTTGCGATGCGGTGGAGTAGATGTGTGTATATTGTTAGCGCGAAAGGTCTTTGCGTTTGCGCAGACATCCAGGCTGCATTGATGGCTTGTGTGAGTGGTCTTGACCAGACTACCCAGCATATTTTTAGCCTGGCTCAGAATTAATTGTAGCCAACGAGACGTCACGTCCGTTATTTCAGTATAGGAAAATTTGTGTAATTGGCTTATCAACTCGCAAGCAGTTTGCCTTAGTTGCAGTGCGACACGTTGTAGTGACTGGCATGCCAAAAGAGAGATGTGCATATATGAGTCATCCACTTTGAACTCTTCCAAGCACTGCTGCAACCATTGAAATTGCTGAGGCAGTTCGAAGGAACTGAGCTCCTCTGCTGTCAGCTGCTGCCAGCAAGGAATCAGTAAGGCGGTCTGTACTACGCATTGCTCGAACAGCTTTCCTCTCTCGTCCTCCGGTTTGGAATCCGATAACCTGAGCCACTGCAAGGAGTAACCCACTGTGTCGAGATGCAAGTGGTCCTCACTAGCACGACGGACGCCCAGGAGAATCTGGAACCATGCAGGTAAATGTGCTGGGGCCAGTTTAATGCATCGTATGCTTGCATCAAAGGTGCACTTTGTAAAGTTGTGCAGAGCGACTTCGTTGGCTGTGAAGAGGAAAAAGTAGTGAAATTGAATACTGGACAACAAAACTTTGCAATCTGCTTTTAATAGCACCTAAAAATTATCCACTGTTTCATGTGGATACCCTCCCTATGGCAGTTGTTTATGATAACCTACCGATAAACAATGGGTCAAAAAACTGTGTGGCAAGCCAGTGTTGAGAATTACTGGGACCCATTTAAATAACAAGCTATTGCGATGTCAGTGCTGGTCCACAAAAACGCATGTCAATCGAATTTAAGTTCAACTATGAAAACACAATATTCTATGAGAAGCGTGAAAGTATTCATACCAAAAATGAATATATACGTCTACTTCAAGAAAGTGGATACTGACTGGATCGATCAACCCTGGAACAGCTTTCCAGACTCCATTTTTTGAGTCTCCACCTCAGCCATATTCAATAACAAAACAGCTTGATATTGCACTCAGCTCGCTGCACTTTGTTATAATAACGGATGCTCTGGTACATACTCTAGCTAACCAGCCTTTTGGGGCAGGCGGTGAGCAATCCGTTTGTAGTTTACAATGAGCAGTAACCATTATTTTGTTTTTCATAATGTTAACTCATTCCTTCATCACTGCTTTCAATATACCATTACCCTGTCGCATCATCGACAAACAGTTTATTTTTTCATTTGTGAAGTCTTCGAATTCGCAATTCTTTCCTTTACCAACCTACCAGAACTATCGAACCAATCTTATGTTACCCGTCATAAACCATTGTTTGATTGACAAAGCTTAGGCGATAAGTTGTGCTAGCAACAGGCACGAAGCGAAGAGCAGCAGACCCTAATTCATTGGTGACAAGTGACGCGGCCGTTTTAAATAACTAACATCTACCTACTTTTCAAATGCCGCTACATTCAAAGCCTTTTCGGAAGGGTCGAAACACACTGCAACACAAGAGAATTGGAGAAAAGGAAGAGGACTGTCTATACCGAGTATTGCAGAACCATGAGTAACCTCAAATTCAATCAGAAGGAGCCTAAAGATAAAGTGCCTCAACAAGCGCAAGCACACTTAGACGAACGGGTAGTGCTTTCTAGTATTAAGAACGTGTCTGAATGAACTGCGAGGTTGTTGAGACAACATGAAACCTTGGTAGCTCACGAACCAAATGGTTCTTCAAGAGGATTGAATTCAAAGCCAAAAGACAAAGTCAAACGACACGGTCAGAATGATTTTATCAAGTTAATCGGCAAAAATTGCGACCAACACTTCATCGGGCACACTGGAAGGAAACCTCAACACGGATCAACGAGCACAAAATGATCATAGGGAGAAACGACCCACGTCCACTTGTTTCCATACATAAAAACCAAGAAGGCCACCAATTAAACCTTAAGAATGAAAAGATCTTAACCCGTGGAAAATCAAGGCAATCTAGTAAGATCTTGTGAGCATGGTATTTTACAGACAATTCACTCAACCGCCACGTTGAACCTAATGCTATATATCCAGTACAACGAATGAAAGATCACCGACTTAGCTAACTACATCCAACGGTACACCGGACAGATAGGTCAAATGGTGAGGTCAGCTGCAGAGGCACGCATGCTTACGTTACGAAGCATGAATCAAAAAGCTAAGATATGATGATCACGTGCCAATCGAACTACACAAAATCAGCCTGACGGCTCGTCCGCCCAACCGATGATCACTCATACTCCTTGACGCTTCGTACCGCGCAGCTCCGCTACATGCGCCCGCAATCACGATGTCACCTCGAGTGGTAACTAAAACTTTGCAGCCAAAGTGTCGACCTAAGTAACCAAACTTTATAGCGGAGTTGTAGGAGGAGTTGCTTAGTCTGGGTTGAAATCTATCACATATAGACTCAGTCAGACAGACATCCCATTGTACGACCGTTCCGTCCTTTCGTGGATCGCCAGCAGTGCGCAAGCAATCTGACCATCGTAGGGCTGAAAATCACACCTCGACTGTTACCAGTCTGTGGTTGAGACCAGTGAACTAAGAAGGACAGCAACGACCGTCTTCATTAAGTCACTGGACGTCGTATAACGCTGCTCACTATCGAATGACTTACGCGTTACTGCTGTGCATAGGACAAAGTAGCCTCCTACCAAGCGACGAAGTTACCAAAATTAGGCCTCCAAGGTACTTATGGCATAATAGACATTTTGGTCACTCACTGCTTACAGAAGAGTAGGGGAGGGAGTTGAATACTTCGAGTCCTAGAAGGGTCAGATGGACTGCGCACTGCTAACGATTCCCAAAAGGATGAAATAGCCGTACAATGCTTTTCCGGGCGTGTGATGCCTGTCTGACTGAGTCTAGATGTGAAGAATTTCTACCTATAACTAACGCTTATCTCTAGTGATAAGAGTGCCGGCGAAAGGAAAAGCGCGGCAGAGGTTCAAGTTGTTCTCCCACCCAAGCGCCGAAGATAACATGTAAATCTTGGACGTACGCGGTCAACGCAAAAATCCCAGGAGGAACACAGTCAGTCACAACAACGTTCGCAAAGGGGAAACTTGGTACCCAGAGACAGAATATGATACAGAATTTAAGATGACTATATGTACTAACTTTCCAACTCGAAATTATCGGAAAAGCCAAAGTGACCCAAATATATGGGGAACTAATGTGCATGTGAAACAAGAACACCAGTGTCATTGAGGAGTGCACATCAAAAGCAGCAGACATGAAAATCTACAAAAAATTATACACCAATACCAATTTACTTGAATAATAATATCCCGTTTTCTACTACCCTTTGGATTTTCAGGTCACTTCCATTCATCTTCATTTTTCCTTTTATGAAGTGCCGGATAACCATGGCTAAATGGGTGTGAGCTTGCGTGCAGCAAGGTATTTTATCAAGAATTTCCCTAATCTAGTCCGTAAGTGAACAAAGGTACCTCGTTGAAACTAAACCAAGGACTTCGTGACGAGAAGCGAGTACACCGTAGATCACCTGTGTCTACTGCCCAGACGAACGAGGAACTCAGAAGTCATACTATTTTGGGGTCCACGGTGAATGACTTGGTAGCGGACTTGCAATCGGGGCAATTCGACCTCCCCTTGAATGTGACAGCTGTTTATTGTGATTGAAGTAATCTAGTTTTGTAGGAGATGAACGAGCGTCAATTTTTGGCTTTACTCGACACGACGCATAGCTATGGATCACATTATCATTGATAGCAGAGTTATAAGAGAAAGTAGTCGTCAAAGAACTGAAACAACGAACACAATATCCGGAAAAGATAGCTGCGTGCAGCCAAAAGGAAACCCGGTACAATGTTGATGTAAGCTTTGGTAAACAGATTCACGTTACGTCAGGTTAAAACAGGCTTAAATTATCCATGTGGGAGCTTTTTCGTTAATTTGCACCAACACTGCTGATGGAACAATGGAACAATCTAGCATCAATGGAAAAGAGCAGAATGCCAATGAAAATAAAAGAGGTGCCATCTTACCCACACTAACGGTCTCGCAACTAGTGCATCATTGCTTTCAGGTCGAATAACAAGCGAAGTAAATAGGGCAAGATGCAATTACAAACAAGCCATAACTTTTGACATCACGGAAGAAAAGTCACCCCACTGGATAGAACAGTATGTAGGGGGCTGTGATGAGACTTTTGGAATCCAAGCTGAAAAATTATAGCGTGCGTCGAAATGCTTGCTAAACCTAACATCAACGATAGTTTCCCTGTTTCATCCGGAGCATCGGGAAAAAACTTTTAGTGTTTACCCAAGAAGAGTAAAATTCTTTTGAAAACGTCCGAAGAAGATACCAGGAGAACAGTATAACAAGTAGGGGAGAATACATGTATTTACAGATGTTCAAAATGAAAAGTGGGATACGGACAGCATTTCGAATATGTGAGTATAAGAAGGACAGTCTTCTTACTTTTTGAAATTGTACGAATGTTTGTTGACCAAGATAAAATGTAAGATAAGCAAACATCGGGATGTTTACGGTAGATACACGAGGGATAATTTGGTGGCTCTTGATCAAGTAAACTATGTATTTAAAAGGGAACACGGTCTGTCGGAGAGGCGTTAAGAGTATGCTACATCACAGCAGTTAGAAAAGTTAATGGAGAGGAACTGAGCGCTTGACCAAGTCAAGGGTTCGTCTAGGTTTTGTGTGAGTTACGAGGGTTTCTTAATTAGTCCGGCCATACACCTTGGGACAACCTCATCAATGTAGTTACATCTGATAAAGCTGGACCATGTGGGTAGACATTTAATACCGATGTAAAATAAAAAACGGGAATAAGATGGTTCCTTGAAAAATCCCTTAATTTGATTGGATTGCGGATCTACTGCATAGATGCGTGAAGAGGGTACGCTTTTTAAAATAGTCATACAACGGAACGCTATGTTCGAGCAGAAAGTTTTCCTAGTAACAGTCGGTCAAGGCTCTTGAAGGCAGTGATAGCATCAGTGAACAGGCGCCGTACGCAGACGTAGGGGAACTCACCAGATAATAACTAGTATCCAGTGTAGTACACCCTGTTTTGTGGGAAAACTTTCGCATCAACCGTGTGACAGGTTGTGAAATTAAGGGAATTAAGAATTTTTCAATCGTCTTCAACTACATACACTTGGACGCCATCGGTCCATGCCTCAGTGCTTTCTTTCTAGGTATTATTCTGCCTGCTTTCCAGATGTCGAGAATGGATACCAAATAGTGAAACACCTATTGAACATCTCTGCCAGAAGTGACTATAACGCATGTGCACAAATTTTCAGTGTCTGGCGACAGAGCATTAGGGCCACTAGCCGAGGCTCCAGCCTCATGCATTCCGTGTAAACATTGGTGTGGTCAACTTAACTGGGGAGATCAGTAATGGGGAAGGGAGATAAACGGAATAATAATAATTATTATTATAATAATAATACGTATATTTCTCTTGATGAGAGAAACTGTCTATAGCGGCACAGATCAATTTGTACAGAAGAATCCATGCTCTTGCGTGGATGACGTGCATAGGTGGAGTATGGGGATA